AGTCAGCCATTTCAGGCATCACCTCTACGGTCTTCATTTTGTGATCCGAACAGATCATGCTTCCCTACATTGGTTGTTGTCTTTCCGGGAGCCAGAGGGACAGGTGGCACGGTGGATAGAACGCCTGCAGGAGTTTCAATTCACCATTCAGCATCGCAAGGGGGAAAGTCACCAGAATGCGGACGGGTTGTCAAGGCGTACCTGTATGGCATCCTGCCCACAATGTGAGCGACTGGCTGGATATGTGATGCAGGAACCGGCTGACATGACCCCGGAGATGGGGATGCAGGCGTCTTGGTGTGCAGTGCTGCCTGATTCAAATGTAGCATGGGCCGCTGAGCAGCACAAGGACCCCGAGCTCCAGGTAATCATCGACTGGGTGGAAGCCGGGAAGAGGCCTACGTGGGAAGAGGTCATGGCTTTTGGACCAGTGGTGAGGGGGCTGTGGTCCATGCGGAATGGCCTGGCATTGAATTTGGGATTGTTGCAGAGAGGATTCGTGGAACCTGTGACAGGTGTAACCAGGTGGCAGACAGTAGTGCCTAAGTCTTTTCACCGCTTGGTTCTGGAAGCAATGCATGGACAACCGGGGGTAGGACATTTTGGAGTAAACAAAACATTAAAACGAGTTCGGCAAGAGTTCTATTGGCACACCTGCCGTAGGGATGTGGAGTCATTCTGTCGTCGGTGTGATGCCTGCACTGCTAAAAAAGGCCCAGCGGGCCGATCTCATGCTCCGCTACAACAACGGCTGGTTGGCTGTCCAATGGATCGTGTGGCCGTAGATGTACTAGGACCTTTTCCACAGACCCCTCGAGGTAATCGGTTTGTGGTAGTCGCGATGGACTACTTTACAAAATGGCCAGAGGCCTATGCTGTTCCCAACCAGGAGGCGAGGACAGTGGTGGATGTCCTGTTGGAAGGTCTGTTTGCTCGCTTTGGGGTTCCCTCTGAGATGCATACTGATCAGGGAAGGAACTTTGAGTCCCATGTGTTCTCTGAGTTTTGCCGGCAGTTGGGCATCCGGAAGACAAGGACAACTCCCCTACACCCCCAGAGTGAAGGGTTAGTAGAGAGGTACAATCGAACACTGGCCACCCAGCTAGCCCAGTGTGTGAGCCAGGATCAAAAGGACTGGGATCTTCAGTTGCCGATGGTCCTGCTTGCAAGTCGGAGTGCGGTGCAGGAGACCACTGGATGTACGCCAGCTCTCCTCATGCTGGGCAGGGAATTGCGAACCCCGTCCTCCCTGTTGATGGGTCAACCGCCAGATGCACCAAAGGCTCCGCCCGGATTGGAGTATGCCCATCAGCTACAGGACCGGCTGCAGTCAGCCCATGAGTTTGCTCGTCGTCAGGCTTTACAGGCGGGTATACGGCAAAAACGGGCATATGACCATCATTGTACGGGACGTGATTTTAATGATGGAGAGCTGGTGTGGATCTATAGTCCGAAGAGGAAAAAGGGACGTTCACCTAAGCTGGATTGTGCCTGGGTAGGACCCTGTTACGTTGTGAAGAGGCTTGGAGAGTCTGTTTATCGTGTTCGGAAGAGGCCTGGGGGACAGGCTGTGGTGTTACACCGGGACAGGATGGCACCATATGGGGGAGAACGGCAACCCTTCAAGAACAGAGGACAATGGCAGACCACTGGGGCGACCCACCCTGCGGACGGAGGAGCTGGAGACGCAGCGTCGGACAAGGGGTGGGAAACCTCAGCGGGCTGTGAAGAGGGTGACCCTTTGACCCAGGCTCCTGGGGGCACTCTGGATACTCTCGGAGGAGCTGGAGACGCAGCGCCGGGAGGGTCTGGAGTTCTTCTGGGTCGGTCTGGGTTGGGGGCGCCTGAAGATCGCACTGTGAGCCCTGATCATCGTTCAAGTGGCAGACATCGCAGTGGAGGCCGTCGTATCACCCCGGAGGTGGGGTATCGGCCAACTACTCCCTCGAGGCAAGGGCTACCTGCCAGTGGGCCGCAGCAGACCCCAAGAGCAAGGACTGGATCACGGCTTCGGCCCCGAGAGGCACTTCGGATGCCCCGGCATTTCATGGATTTCACCTTCCTCGGGGACGAGGAAACCTGAGGAGGGGGCAATGTGGCGCTGACACTGTTTATTCTCTGTTGATTCACCTGCTGTTGGGGGGAGGTGTCCGGGAGGGATATAGTTAAGAGGGAGGGGCTTAAAGACGGAGAGAGAGAGAAAGACTGTGAGCGGGACAGAGGAAAGTCAGTCTGACGTTACATCTCTTTTTGGGCGTTCATGTCGTTTTTGGGGACAGCTAGGACACCTCCTGATTCCCGTGTTAGGCTGTACACGTTCAGGAAATAAACCTTCCAAGCCGTTTGGTGTTTGTAAACCGGATCTTCGTCTCCTGTCTGTTTCTCTGGGAAAGTGCACGACGTTACAATATTTTTTCCGATATAAGGTGCCATGAGCCGGAAGCGGAGGGGAGGGACTTAGGCTCTCTATTGGACTCTTGTCATGTCAAAAGTGATGACTTTTCAATTTTACGGACGTCGGCACGTCGCCATCTTTGATATTACTTCAGTCACTGTCGCTATGGTTACTGGAAAGAGAATACGGGCTTGAGTTGTAGCCTATGTTCAATACAGTATAGGCCTACAGACAGTAGGCCTATTCGAGACTCTGCTGTAAGTTGTTGTGTGAACGGGATAATTCGAGACACCTGTAAGTAAATGCAGTTGCAAATCCCAAAAATTGACAGTGTGAACTTAAGTCACAGTCAACTTTGACATTTTAAAGATGTCAAAAAGCCACAAACAAAAACATGACTGGACTCTGCGTCTGAATGCTTAAGCCAGCCTTGTTTCCCCTCAAGTAAATTTATAAGACAACTAGAGAAACACTTAGCCTACCGATCAAAATGAAGTGAAAATTTGCACAATCAAGGAATCTCCCCTGTTGACTCAATTACGTACCTCACCTAATGCGTGATTGCATAAGCCAAGGCCCGCTAGAGGCCCTGGAAAGACACCCACCAGGTGCAAAATAAAACAATTTGATTGGTTAATAAATCTGACAATCTGAAATTAGATTCTAGTATTTGTACTGTAGTAGAGGGATTCGCTGGAGATCCTGAAGGGGTGAAGCTTATCGACACATTTTACTTGTAAAAGTCACGCAATAAAATCTGATTGGATAAAGGTCTCCAACATTTGTTTGAGTATCTACAAAGTCTGCAGGCGGTGAGGCGGAAGACATGAGTAGAAAATGATCGGAAAATAAAAGCTAATCTAAGCAAAGCAGAGCGAGCAAGAAATTGAAAAAAGCATCTATTTATTTACAGCACTGTCAAAGAGACAGATAACAGATAGGTTACTGAGTGTTAGATACTACATGTGTGTGAGTGAAATGCATTACTCTGCAATGAGTAAACAAAAATTCACATGTTTGTAGCCTATAAGAGTGCTGTAACTCCGACATAAAGGTATTACATCAGTTATTTACAGAAATAACAACTTTAGTGCTGGTTGAATCATGTGGAAGAGAAACACAAGAGGGCAATAGTTTACCAGAAATCGTATCTTACATGGCCATACTTCAAACCAGCTGCCTGTGCGGACACTTCCATTTTCCCAATTAAACATCTTTTCATCACCCTTTTTAATTCTTTCAGACTGAATTGTCTGCACTCGTTCTGATTTCTATCAGGCTGATGGAATGGCATAACATTTGTTAAAGGTCAATATCTTGCCAAAATGAATGATTAAATACTAATAGTAAAAATGTGTTAAACGAAAGAGAATACAAGCAATTCAGGTTTATTTTCTTAAAACAACACAGATATCCTAGATCTTTGATGTAGGCTAACATAGCAATGTAAATATGAATGAAATCTCTATCTATATTCAGATTTCCTAAATGTAGGCCCTACCTGTCCATTCTGGGTGTGATAGGCCATGGTTCATTTTTACAGAGGACAGGCAGAGTTGAAATTTTGGCAGAGCTTTTATTTTTAAGTACTAGACAAATAAATGCGCATAATTATTGGAAAAAATGTCCAGACAGATGGAGATGTGCCAAATTATGAAATCATGCACTCTTCAGTTGCATATCCAGTCATTACTAGAGTTCCACTTGGAAAACAGGTGTTTCTAATACAGAGAGATGTCTCCACGGTCTTCTACCCCATTTCTGATGATGATTCAGATATGATATTTCATGGCTGGAACTGAGCACATGATGGGATATGATCGGAGAAAGAAGAAAAATAAAGAGGAACAGAGAGAAAGAGAAAAAAATTTACTCACTTCTGAAGACATCCATGTAATGGATGCTGATTGGGCTTTTAAATCAGTGAAGCCTGTGCCGGGATAATGAGGACCAAAGCCCAGACATGAGAGAAGTGATCATAAATACTGTAAACGTATTAAGATCAGACATATTAAAACCAGATATGTAAAAATTACCCACATCCAGCGTCTAACATATTCCTCTCTTCCCACTCCCTCTTGCCCCCATTCGATCTCTTTAAACAGGTGCCATATTTATATGCATCACCACAGTGAAAAGGATGAATTTGAGCCACATGGTCTTCTCTTTCTTCTTTATATCAAAGAGAACAGCAGGATCAATCCTTTTGTTTTTACACATATTGACTTTCAAATAATTATTTTCAGTTTCTCTTTATCTCAAGCCCATGATTATAATAAAGGGGAAAATAAGAGGGCATGAGATAGATTTGCATTTGATTAGTAAAAGCTTTTTTTGTAGGACTAGTAATGGTTTTCAGATTGTGAGGATTAGAACTTCATTTAGATCCTCTTGCTTTCTGTATGAAAATACATGTATGGATTAACACATTTTTAATTTATTAAACTATTCAAATATATAGGCTACATAAATATTCACTTTTGTAGGTCCATATTTTGATCTGTGATGATTTCCGATTTCTGATCCATCATATATACTGCATGATATTTCAAAACCACAACCAAAAGCCACAAAACATGCTTGTTTTTTTTTCAGGAAACATAAAGAGAACTTATAATGTTTATTTAATGAGCTTTATGTGCTTGGCACTTGTATTTACAGCCTCAAAAGCCTAAAACAACATTTGTTCATTCCTCCCACACTGGTTTTAATTCAACATACACTGGCCATAGAATTGCTTAGCATTTAAATATATTCATTTACAAACACTCCAAAGCATATACCTTAATTACCTTGTCTTCCTATGGTTTTTATCCACACAACAATTTAAAACCTATGTGCTTTACGTGCATTCACTATTGTTTATATGTTTATGTTCCACTCAGGATATGGTTAAGCCATTTCCAAACCAATAGGCAAAGGTTCAGCATTTCAGTAACAAATTGTCAGAAACACACAGAGACCCTGTTATTACAGGAGGATTTAACTTTGCCATCCTGAGAGAGTCCGTCGGTTTCCAACATCGTATCGCAACCTCTATGACAAGCATTGTATATTATTATCAACAACAAAAACGTCATACTGACAACATTTATTCGTCACAGTTTTGAGGATATGTTTAGTTCTGGCTGATGTCTCTGTTAATGTTGGACAGTTATGGGTCCATTATTGCTGTTATTATTGCACCAAATATGAATCCTCACCAGAATCCATCTTCTAAAAATCGGACCTCATTTGACTTAGTTCAGTTTTGCACATCGTTGAGGTCGGCGGGTCAGCAACAACAACAGTCGAGTTTGAAGAGTCATTTTTAGCTTGTATATCCATTTGCTTTTGACGGCATATTATGTAAGAGATGAACACAGGTAACACTTTAACTCCATTATAGTCTGATGAGTTATATGGCAATGAGATGACAATAAGTGCACATTGAACGGCTGTTGTCTCCAATATCATGATGGTGAAATGCTCATGCCAAAATATCAGACATTTTGAATAATAAAACTCTGAAAACCCTGTAACGCTGAGCAAAAAATTGCAGCAGCTGTTAGTGTTTTTATCTGTTTTTGGTTTATTTAACATTTTCCAAGCACTTCAAACCATGTGCATGGACATCTGTGAAGAGGAGCCATACTGGCGGCCGTCACAGCTGCCGGCCCCCTGTTGGCTGCCCGCGGGGTTGCTGATCATGTGCATACTGTCCATGCCGCTGTTGGACAGGTATTGACGTTCAGCAAATGCTCCGGCAGAGGAGGAAGAGCACAGTAAGCCACCCTGAGGCTTCTCTGGGCTGGCAGCCAGGCGCGGTGATGCTGGGAAGTTGTATCCGTACAGGTTGTAGGGATTGTGAAGGGAAAAAGCGTTGTATGTGCTCTGCTGCACGTGATGATGGCTCCCAGAGAACATATGCGCGGAGGACGGGGATGAGCTGGATGAAGCTGATGACCCAGAGGCGGAGCTCGCCCCTGCCTGCATGACGTACTGTAGCTGGGATGCGGGAAAAGAGGCCAGCTGACTTCCATACGCATCCATTTTACCCCCGCCGCTGCAACCGCTGCTGTTACCAGCAGCCAATGAGGCGTGAGCCCCTCCCTGCATTCCTGCAGCGATGAGAGAGGAAGTCCTCTGAGGCAAGAAGGAATCAGAAGCCTGGGCGGAGGTTACAGTGCCTCCTGTGGTCTGGAGGCGGCCGTAGGAGCCGTCGGCTAGTCCTCCGTAGCCCTGCAGGGCGGCCATGTTGCTTCTGGCACATGCGGGGTACTCGGACAAGCCCAGGTTACACAGCTGGCTCTCCCTGCAGCCCACATTGAAGGTGTTGGGTGCCAGATGGAAAGTAGGAGGGGAACAGGACGGGGAGAGAAGGTGTGTCGCACCGGAGGGAGATGGAGTGCCAGTGCTGGAGGTAGTGGGAGAGGTGCCAGTGCTCCCTCCTGAAAAACACAGTCAGCAAACATTCAGAAACATCCAAACCCCAAAGACACACTGTGGATACACGTTCCTATGCATGAAGAATAAGTGCACACTCAAGAGGAGAACGGTGAGACAGAGCCAGCTCTGAAAACACACGCACTGTCCAACAATCACACAGAGCGTATCTCTTATTTCATCCCATGGATCACAAGCAGTCGCTGTGGCTCCTTAGGGAGAGCATTTCATCTGGTTACAAGAGAGGCCTGTTCAAACCTGGCAACAAGTGCCACAAATTAACCCATAATGGAGCGCATCTCCACGGTGCTATTCTACATAACAAAAATCTTCAAACTTTAAAATTGCCTGAGTTTTTTTTAAAGGGATAATTTACTCACCCTCATGTTGTTCCAAACCTGTATGACTTTATTCTGTGGAACACAAAAGAAGATATTGTGAAATGTCAGTGTTTTTTGTCCATACAATGAAAGCCAGTGGGGTGTTTTGGACACATTCATTGTATGGACAGAAATAGTTCTTTAAAATATCTTCTTTTGTGTTCCACAGAGTAAAGAAAGTCATACAGGTTTGGAACAACATGAGGGTGAGTAAATGAGAACAAAATGAAGAATTTTCATTTTTAGGTGAACAATCTCTTTAAGGTATTTCTTATAGTTAAAACTGTAATCCCCAGATCATTCTAAAAACTGAACTAACAGAACCCGAACTGACTTTCTTCTTTGCAGACTTACGTTGTCAGTATGATTGATTGGACGAACACAGTATGCAGCCTGTTTAAATAATGGCTTGCCTCACTCTTGCACTTCAGTTGGGCTCATATATGCCTGATTGTGCCATTCAGTTTGACCTCAATAAACTTCAGACCATGAGTATAACAATAAAACACTCTTCTTCACTCCAACAAACACATTTTCTGTCATTTACATTTTGATTTTCCCTTAAACATCGAAAACAAAATACAGTGTGTAAAAGTATATCTGACTATACAATATGATACAATATTTAATGAGGCAAATGCTGCATTGTACAGCATTGTTTCACACTGTATGCATCTGGCACCGAAATTCACACACTTTGTGAGAAGTTGGGGTTAAAAGCAGGGTTTAAAGAGGCGATAACCAGAGGTTAAGCACAGTATGAAAATCCCATTACATGTCTTGTCAGCTAAAACCATCTCAGGGATACTGTGACAAATGTTGAATTCAAATTTGGCTTGAGTTTGAAAATATGCATGTCTGGTCAACAGAACACTGGCCTTTTTCTCTCAGTATGACATGCAGCATTTGGGCATATGTTCATAGAGGGGAAACAAATCACTGGCACATATTAACAGTGAATAAGTTAAACACATGGAACTGAATGATACCGGTGGGATATCTACCACATATTTCTTTATTAATGAGAAATTGGCCAGCACTCAGTTTGTTGTTTTGAAAATGTAGTCTGGTCTATGGCTCGGAACGGGTAAGAAACTAAATAATTCAGAACTCTCTTGGCTGAGGCTTGGGCCAGCTCCATATGCGTTCGATAATACAGCCGAGTCGATTTCTGGTTCACTCAACGTGGTTCTGTTCTGTTGGCTAAGGGAAAGACGACCTCGTGGTGATGTCATGTTTTCCCCCTGTTGTCAGGCTGGGTGAGAGAGGCTTCAGCAGTGCTTCAAGAACAACTAATTACTCCAATAGATCTGCATGTACTTCTTGAGGGCAATCGGTTTGGGCTGCGGGGGTGGGGGTGGAGGTGGAGGGGGAGGGAGAGTACACGACGAACCGTGCGAGAACTTTAATTAACATTTAATCAGTTTCGAGAAGTTTGTGATGACAAACAGATGTCTACTCAGACAAAATACCATGCTCACATTACTCTGACCTTATGACGAGAGAAAAAAATAGTTACATCAGCATTTGATCATCTGGGCAATAACTAGCTATGAGTAAGAGACTGAGCTAAAGAGATGATTTTAGCAATCAGACATCCGTCACAGCAAAATTCACAGGAGGACTTTTACTTTTGAATAATTCAATCCGTCATCATTAATAAAAAGATAGACACAAAAATAACTTAAAAGTATTTTAAAAGTGGTCGAAACACCTTGTGTGCTATATGTCAAGTCTTCTGAAGTCATACAATAGCTCTGTGTGAGAAACAGGCTGAAATTTATGATGTTATTTACTGATAATTTATAAATGGTCCTGGATACTACTTTACTGGATCACTGAGGCTGATAATAAACCTCTTTGGAATGTAATATAAATGCGTCAGTCATTACATTGGTAACGCAACAGTTTACAGACGATATTAGATGTAAATAGTGACTGCGTTATGGAGGACGATCAGATATTTCTTTTAATTTTATTATTAATTTGTGTTTACGCCGCTCAAATAGTGCGCTTAGCCAGTTTCTTGAGTTGAACTGGAGAACTGGATCATTTCGATTAGTGAGCAGATTGAAAAAGATCCGACTGAATTATTTTATTTTTAAATCACTACTACTGACTTTTAGTAATTAATGTTACATTTTGAATATTTAAATATATATGTTTTTTTATATAATGAATGCATTTTGGCCTCTTTTTCATATAAAGCTATAATATGGTTTTAGGTTGAACTGTTCTTTTAAGGGACTGAGGAAGTGAAATAACATTTGATCTGTCAAACAGATGTACAAGTACATTTTTGTCCAACTCGTCCCACCCAGTGCAGAGCTCCCTATACAAGCTTAGAGTCATTCATAAATCCTCTGTGGTATGTGATTATTGTGGCCACACAGTAACTTTAAAGATGATTTATGAAGCAATATTTTGAAATGCAAAGCCTCTGTTATTCAAGTAGGCATGTTATAAACATCTCCAGTCACAGGGACCATGCACATACCTTGCTGTTTCTGCATGTTCGTGAAGTCCTCAAACGTCAGCGTCCTCACTGGAGGTCTCCAGAAAGCATATGTCTCCATTATTGCCTCCAACCCAGTCCTGCACAAGAGATAGTGACAGAGAAAGCCGGAAGAAGAGACGTGAAATGGCAGAGAAAACAGGTGAGACGGTCAGATTATGCACATGAGAAAAAAGGGAGAAAAAGAGAAGGGGAGTTTGAGGAAACTGGAGCCCATAAAAAGAGCAGGTTTTTACTGTGCACATAAATCTTGGTGATGTTTCATCTCTGTACATGGGTCCCCTTCCTGTGTGATTTACTCCTCTTTGCAGCGCTCCCTGCATCAGCCCTCGCCGTGCGGCTTAACAGGCAGTAATTCTCTACTCCTTTCTGCTTGTTAGTGAGACGCTCTAATGACTCGAGCACTGGCTGAGACTGAATCCAAATACTGCTCACCAAATGACAGATTTTTCCCATTAATATCACAACTAAAATATTGATTTATATCTTGGTTGAGCATAACTGATTCCACCGATCATCAAAAGCTGGCATTACAACTTAATCTGCGGTTTGGAAACCAGGATGAGAAGGATTCAGTGCATAAATGAAACTGTGATTACTTTGTGACAGATCAACTGTTTTGTTGTATACCAAATTTTTACCATTTTTATTGAGAGGGCAAGATCAGTTTCTATATAGATTTTCTTACTCCTGAATAATCTTTTCATCTCTATTTTTCTGCAATGAAAATCTAACGCTAGTTCATAAATCAGGCAGTCTATTGTTTGAAAAATGAAAAAAGATGTCTCAAATATCTGTGGCGATAATACTCTCCAGATGGAAGTGTGCTTTCATGTGCTGAGGGTCTGTCTCAGACTTTCTCGCAGTATTCTGACTCGCATCTTATATAGACGGAGCAGGGAAGTGCATGGAAATACAGCGAGAGGGAAAGAAAGGCGAGTGAAAGGGTTGGCGAGATTGAGGGAAGGGAGTTGAAAAAGCGAGAAAAGGAAAGAGGCATTTTTCTTTCCGTTGCCCTCAATCAGAACGCTTTATCACAGATCGACCAGGTTTTCTTGGCAGCTGAATGAGGGAGTGATTTTAATGTAGCAGGACGTGGAATTAGGAGGGATCTCCTGGGGTTCATAACCATATGAAAGGACACTGCCGAGATATGTGTGTATTTGCACACACAGCATGGACAATACAGAGCAAGGGTAAGATTTCCTGAAAATCTACCTGTTTCTCCCCGAGTCCCGGAATCCTTTGGCAAAGGGGTTGCGGTCAATCTTTAGACGGGTAATCTGTTATAAGAGAAGAAGTCCAAAACAGACTCATTTAATATTATTTTGACATCCAGACAATGCAAACACATATTCATCATATCAATTTAATAATAAACATATAACAAAAAGTCTTTTTTTAACGTTTTCCTTCTAAAACTGATGCAACACGTGGTTTTATTTTGGGATGCACAAAATAGTAGCACTATATTATTTAGTGGTCAAAATAGAGATTTTTATTTATTTATTGGAATATTTTATATATATTAACACTCACTTAAGGTTAATCTTTTTTAACAAACTAATAATTTAATGTAATCTTTAGCAAATCTAAAAATGTATTTCCATTTATCACACAGAAAATTATAATGTTGTGATGCCTAAATTCACTTGTATAATATAAAACAATTGATTTTAGTGTTTGTTTTAGTGATATTATAATTTTTATATTGAACATAACGTGAAATTAATTATTGGCTATAATTTAACACATCTTTAGTTGTTAAGTTGTATTATGCCAATTAAGACCTGAACTATGCATTTCATAGTCTCAGTGGTGCTGTACACTGACAGTCAGTAATGGACCTGTTGGTTCTGGTAGGCTGTGACCGTAGTGAAGACGGTCTCTGGGAAGCTGAACGTCTTTACTCCTTCCCCTGTAGGAACAGGTTTGGTTGGAGAAAGCTCGCTGCTGAAGTCTTTTCGGATCACGTGGACACGGGGCTGATACTTGTGCATCGAGTGCAGGATGATCTAGAAATAAAAAGAGAGTTATATCATCAACTACTCTGCCACAACCACAAGAGTGCATTTACACAGCTGTATGGATTAAATGTCAGTGGCATAATGAGGCTGTGAATATCAAAGCTGCTTGGACCAATATGAGAACATGCTGTATCACAGTGTGTACACATGTTGATGAGATATGAATCAGGCCAGCTCGAGGGTGAGTATCTCACACCGATGTGTTGGCGTCAGAGCATGGAGGCTGTAGCCTTCCCTCAGGCCCTTAGTCTGTTTCTAATTACTCCCAGTGTCAGTGTGCGTCTCCTGGGTCCACCGCAACCGAGGAGGTCAGGCAAGAGAAGAGAGGCCTTTGCAAAACAGCTTGATGACAGTAAATTTAATATTCCAGCTCCCCCTTCTATCCAATCTAAATGCACATTGCACAGCCCAGGAGAGCCCAATGCTGCCCAAGGCCAGACAACACCAGCTCAATGAAGACCGACTACATAGAGAGGAAGTGTTCAAAGCCACACTGCTGTAATTCCACAGATCAGAGATATTCAGGATTGAGAACATTGTCTGGGGCCAAAAAGGAATTTTTCAAGGTGATATCGTAGCACAAAAATGAAACATTAGGAGTTGACAAAGTTACAGTTTGCTGATCAAACAACAAATGACAACTAAAGTTTCAAAAGTTGTGTATGTACAATACATATATACACATACAAACGCAAACACACACACACACACACACTATTAGAATTTTAGAATTACATTGTATAAAATAAGTGTGTATACGTGTGTGTGTGTGTGTGTATATATATACATACACATACATCCACACACACACACACACACACACATACATATATATATATATATATATATATTTATTTATTTATTAACACATACATACACACACACACATATATATTATATATATATATTGTAAAAAAAGGTTCCGGCCTTAAATTTAAGTACAATCAACTTTGATGTTTAAGTCATTTAAACTAAAATTACATTAAACTGACTAATTAAAAAATTAATTTAATCTTGCGTAATTTATAAAAAAAAGTTGAAAATTGCTTAACTTATTTTGACGAGTTAAAGCAATGTAAAAACATGTTGTCATAACTTATTGATCATATAATTTTTTTGTGTATGTGTATGTATATATATATATACAATTTTAGTTTATATATACACTACCGTTCAAAGGTTTGGGGTCAGTGAGAATTTTATTTTTATTTTTTGGAGGAAAGAAATCAATACTTTTATTTATCAAGGAATAATTAATTTGATCGAAAGTGACAGTAAAGACATTTATAATGTTACAAAAGATTCTAACCCTAACCCTATTCATCAAAGAATCCAAAAAAAAAACAAAAAAAACTGTACAACTGACAGACCAACAACTGTTTCAACATTGATAATAATAATAAATGTTTCTTGAGCATCAAATCCTCATATTATACTGATTTGTGAAGGATCATTTTGACACTGAAGACACTGACACTGGTGATGCTGAAAATTCAGCTTTGATCACAGGAATAAATTACACTTTACTATATATTCACACAGAAAACAGCTGATTTACACTGGAATAATATTTAATACTATAACTGATTTTTGTTGTATTTTTAATCAAATAAGCGCAGCCATGGTTAGCAGAAGAGAATTCTTTTAAAAGTATTTAAAATCGTACCGACCCCAAACTTTTGAACGGTAGTGTATATACACATTTATTCTAATATTGAAGTAGAAGCAGGCCCTTATTCTACACCAATAATATTTAAATCCTCTTTGCGATGAAACTGCAATCAAAATTATTTTTGGTCAGGAGGAGGAACGTGGGGTTCATATATTCCACGGCGGCGAGGTCCCACACAGGACGTTCCAGGGTTAACTTCAGTTCCGGCCCTCGCTCGCCCTCCAGGCGAACAAAAAATAAAGTCTCTCTTTACGAGGTTGTGGTATAAGAAAAGTCCCCTCTCCTCTTCCTGAAAAAACACCAGCCTGCTGCAGTTATAACACCCATATGTTATTACATTTGTCAGAATCCTCGAGTGATAGCATCAGTGACTCGAGTCAAAACAGCCCCATATGCAGAGGAGATGCCAGTAGAGCAGCGAACTTTGCAGACGTGGCCTAAGGCAACTATTTTACCCACACCAACCCTGCATCTAAAATACAGATACACTGTATCTTTTGGTAAGGAATACGCAGCATGTCACGTGCAATTATTCTATACTTCCTCTCTCTGCTGACTTTACAGCACCATTCCACTGGTCATGGGCAGATGCATTAAAAGTGGATGATCACATTAATCAAAACAACATTATTGATCTGCTTCAAGGAAATTAATAATAGATATAAATAGATAAAATATTGACAAAATCATTGCTTTATGTTGAAAAAATTTGCTATTGATTATATAGAAAGCTATCAGGATGACATTCACATTTTAATTGTTTGCATGCTATGAAATTAAGTTTAATTAATTAAAAATCATAAGCTTACAGACCCCAAGCAAAAACATGTTATACTAAACTGCATAACAATCACATTTGAGTGAATGTCAACCTTATGGTAAAGCAGGGATTCGGTTTGAATAATATCTGCCAGCTGCGTTTTGAATAAGAGAGTTAAAATAATCCAACTGGACAATAATAGCTCTTTTCAAAATTCCTAATATTGTTTTTATATTTATACACAGGGTTCTCTGGGACCCCAAACACAGTCAATCCCAAAACATGAGGAAACATTAACACAAAACATGAGGGCTAAGCCTTTAAAACCATCCTGAGCAAATTAAGCACATTTATCTTGTGGGTCTCATTATTCTGGATAGAGTTGGACGTATCACCTCATTTCTCAAAGTCACTATCACTACGATGATACATAACCAAGACAACCCAACAAAACGTGCTGGGGATGAGAGTGTCATCTGATGGTCTGATAATAAAACCATCCCTGTGCACTCACTCCCTCAGCACAATGCTGCAAACCAGAGCCAGGCACAACACAGGCACACTCGAACAGTGAGGAAAGATGCACTGGACACAAAAACCAAAGATCTGGAGGACATACTTGAAAACAATTCATATATGTTGGGGGGGGGGGATAAATACATTTCCAAACAATAACATGCACTTAAATTGCGCTGTATTCAGCTGTTGTTCAGCACTGACGCATGGGGAATATCAGTCAAGTACATTCAAATCATTCTTTTTCCAGTTTTGCCAGTGCTTCAGAGAATACACTGAATAATGGTTTTCTTGCTTGAGAGAATATACAGATGTCTTTGGGGGAAATGGGGGTTGTTATATTTATCAACTAGTGCATGTTATGAATACAGAAATGTGGATAAGCAGGTGTATGCAAAGTCTTCTAACTCAAACGCTGACATTTAAAGTGCAGATATTGCATTTGGTGGCTTTATCTTTTTTATTAGTAATCATATGCATGGGTCAGTAAGATTTAAGTATATTATGCACATCAAGGCTACATAAATTTGATCAAATGTTGTGAATTACAGTTTTCTTTTTGAATGTATTTTAAAATATAATTTATTCCTGGAGGCATCATTACCTCCAGTCTTTAGTGTCACATGATCCTAATATGCTGATTTGCTGCTCAAAAGATATTTCTTGTTATTATCAATGTTAAGAACTGCTAATATTAATATATATAATTATATATTATATATATATAATATTTTTGTGGAACCCATTTTTTTCAAGATTCTTTGATAAAAAGAAAGTTCAAAAGAACAGCATTTGTTTTTGAATAGATGTCTACATAAATGTCTTTACTGTCACATTTGATACATTTAATGTCCCCTTGTTGACGGGAAGAATTAATTTCTTAAAAAAAAAAAAAAAGATCTGACTGACCCCAAACTTTTAAACGGTAGCATGTATGTAATATATATAAATACTGACATCATCCATTGTAATCAAATGTGCACTCACATGGCCTTGATCATCCAGCTCATTGTTGGTGAGTTTGAGTTTGTCAAAGCTGACCACTTGTCTCATCCAGGTGTCTCCTGAAGCCAGTGAATCCGGGTGGATATAGACCCTGGGCGGCACTGGGGAATCTGCGTTTCCCGCCACCATCCACTTTGAGCTGTGATACACATACCTGCAAAAAAAAAAATGCACATGACTTTCATGATACTCTGTTGCAGCAGCCCATGAGTGTTATTATTTCCGTAAAATTACTCATGTGCTCTCACATCCAAATTTTGGATGTCTGTCAAACAGACTATTACAAATTCAAGATAAGCATAATATCCTATTGAACCTGTTTTGGACTGCAAATAATAATAAATGGTATGTAAAAGTACATTAACATAATTAATGTTAAGCATTAAGAACATTCTGATACATGTGTTTTTAGGCATTCCTAAAGTGTTATTTGCAGGGCATTCCCTCAGCTGGCTGAGACACAGCTGGATGCCTTTAGTTCAGGCCATGCACACAGTTGAAAGTGCTTAACTGCGTCGCCTCTGCCAGATTCATCACCCATCTCTCAAATATGGACAAAACTCTCATTTGGCCCCTTTTTGTTATTGCTTGGCAGCATTAAACATCCTCTGTGTCTGTCTTATTCTCTCCCAGAGCACCCCACTACTGCGGACATGAACACACGTGCACCCCACGCACATTCACAGGTATTAATCTGTTGGATCTAAAGTTTTATTGATAAAGTCAAGGGCATATATATCTGTACAAAAACATGTGTGCTTTAACACAAACACTCACACGTCGGCTGTCCCTTGCACACATACGCATATAGTGCCAGGCGTTTTTGTAATTTCCTGTTTGGAGTGCTGTTTAGGGTTATGCTCTATGTAGCAGGGAAAGTGTTAAAGAAAAGGGAAACCTAAGACCAAAAAGGACTGGAAATTTGATTAGCGCTCTTTCATCTTTCATAAATCTGCCATCTGGCACTAGCACAATCAATAAAGATCCAACTTTATGTGACACCTTTTTGGACAGATGGTGGAGCGACTGCCCATTAGAGTCCAGCAATATTTAACACATGCAGTACACTGTACACATGCAAAAGTATTTACATACATTTAGATGATGGGGGGGGGGGGGGGGGCAAAAATGGCGTTATTATTAATGTAAGGCCCCATCAGTCAAGTATAGAAGCAAAATAACCAGGTTAAAAACTAATCTGCACATGCCAATTTTTCTAGTAGTTCATTACAGATATGCTTGTGCTTTCTCATACACACAACACAGCAGCAAATAGACCAAGTCATTTATCGGGTTACTTTACTGACAGAGTAAGATACCCTGAAGTGTGGACCAGAGCATGTGCTCAAGTTGAGTCTGCACCATGTGCGTTTATTGTGTGTATTATATGCAAATATGAAATAAGATAACAGGCATGCCTGATATTTGTGAATTTAGCTATAGAGAGAGCCTCCAACAAGGATCCAAAGATCTGGGCCGCTCCGCATTTTCCTACTTCTTCTCTCAAATATAAGCCATACCGAATGCCCACATTAAAGAGTACAGTAATTCAAGTAACACGTAAAGAAAGATTTAACAAGTCTAGTACAAACTCTATGTCCCTTAAAAAGGGCAGTGCGCCTAAGTAAAGTGAGTAAATTCCAATAAAGCCTGCGTTTCCAGACCCGAGCCCTCGAGACACATGAGGCATTCCAGTGACAGCTCTTTGCTCCGCTAGCAAAGCCTTGTGGTAAATTCCCCAGCCAGGAAGAAAATCCTATTTAATTTTACAAGATCTTTTGGCTTCTAAAATCCTCCATGATATTTGGGGGCTCTAAATGGCTGTCTTCAGGGCCAGTCCTCGAATGGCTGTGGTTTTATTTTCAGTAAATGATTACATTAATCTAAGTTAAAATGAACTGGAAGATTATCGTGTTGTCCACTTAAGTGTCACAATGTACAGTAATTAACATAGTAACATCCACAGTGTTTTGTATTGTTGTTGTTTTTATCATTGCCTTTCAAAAGTATAAAATATAGAAATATGAGAAAATATTGGGTTTTGCTGTATTGTAGCAGAAAATTATTGAAAAACAGAAACACATTTTATCTAACTTATCTATCCTCTTTTGCCTCTAATCTACATTCTGATTTCAGTCATTTCCAGATCCGTTTTCAAACATGGGACTAAAGCATAAACACAACTCAAATAGTTTCACTGAATATAAACAGAAATCAGATGCGTTTATTGATTAATTGTAGGAAGAAACAAGGAGAGCTAAGCTATTCATTATGCCTCATTTAAATAAAAATCAACTTAATTTGGGAAGACTTAAAAAAACTTGTAATGAAACATGGCACATGTAATTATGGAAAGGACAGCAAGCCGTACATGCATGCAGGCTTTAGTTGTATTCAAGTAAAGCTTTTCTGTAAGCATGTGTGATGGAAAGTTGTCATGGTGAGAGCAAAATCACAGGGATACATTACACCACCTTCAAGGCTGATACGGCAACTCTGTCAGGATTGCCGTCAGTGTTGCATATTCATGTAAATCTCCCACCCCATTTCAAGAGGGTTCAGGTTTCCAGTTTATAGACAAATGTCCAGTCAAATTAGTTATTTTCCTCTTTACTCACTGCATGCTAACAGAGCTACACTCTCTGTGCTTACCTGTATCTCTTGTTGTCCACTGGTACAATGTCCATGGCAATGTAATACTGCTGATGTGGATCCAGTCCGACGATTTTAACTCTCATAGCAGGGAACATTCTCCTGAAACAGAAAATAATTTAAATTATTGCATGTGTTCATTGAACAAGTCCAATTGCATAAACAGTGATGCCATTGACAATTATTAGTTTTAAGAGAATACAAATATTGATACAAAAAGCAAAGTTAATGTAAATAAGATGTGTGAAAAAAATAGCATGTGTTACAGTGATGTCTAATATATTGAAATATACCAGTCTGACACCAACAAAAGCATAAAACAGATGAAAAAACATGGAATAAAATAATTATTGCAATTATTATTTTTGAAAGTATCACGACTTGCTGACCATTAGCAGGTAATAGCAGGATTCAGATACATTTTGGTAAATTAAAAGGATGTATAAAAGAAAGAATAGCAGACAAATCAAAGAACTCAGAAATGTCCATAAAAAGTTCAAACAAGCTAAACTGAACAAAGGGGCCATGTCTAAAAAGACATTTTGGGCTAATTTCTCATTTTACACTTCAAAAGCAACTTCTTTGTCTTTTCATTTTAAGGTCATAAATCTCTTTGTTCATAATGAGAGAAAAGTGTCTGGTCGCTCACTTCCACCCCCATACACCTCTAAATTTATAGGGTTATTATTAGCAGGGCATAAAATACACGGGGCTATTCATGAAGTTGTGTTACATGTGTTCAAATCAGAGGAATTATTATTTCAGGCTCCATTTTTGACTAAACATATACAAACGAGGAGCCTATAGTAGGCTATAAAATGTTAAATAGTTTGGACACAAGTAACTTTGTTTGATAAAGGGCTCTGGTGCAAAAAAAAAAAAAAATGTTTACTGTTCCAAAGAAATATTGCTATACTTACAGCAGTGCGAAAAATCAGAAGAAAGGTTCTATTGATGATGAAAACAGGCCCAAGCAATATATCAAATGTTATTGAGTGAGAAATATCTATAGGCTAATGCTAGTTTTGGAATTTAGATCCACATTTTTTCCTAGAAATATCTTTTTTACGTCTACCAAAGCACATTTTAAATTATCCGTAAATTGGGTAAATAATTAACGAAATGTTTGCACAATAATGTTTTAAAAAAAAATCTATTTAAATAAGATGTATAATAATTGGCATCATGGGCTCGTTTAACGAGGTCCATTTTTTCTTTTTCTTTTTTTAGCTATAAGCCAAAACAGAGTTCTATTACTAAGCTACTTTACAGCCTCCCAGTGCAGTCAGGAAGTAAGTACACGTTTACCCTGTGTTTTAAAACAAGGAATTACGCCAATAAATGGAGACATATTATCATGTTGGTTTGATCGTAAAGTGTAAAAATGGCACGGAAATACCTGGCAATCCCCCTGAGAAGAAAAAAAAGGGGGCGAAAGGTCTTACTGTGAACTGTGCAGGTTAAGTTATATGCTCGGTTAAAAGAGCAAGAAAACGAAAAGCATATTTCAAATGTATTAATTAGAAACAGTTGTTGTTGTTGTGTCGTTTCGCCCACCGTTATAGGGTTGAGTAATGTAGTGGAATAGGTTGCTATAGGTTGTGGTTTGTGATTTGTGACCGCTGCCCCCATGTGTAACACATTAGCGCCTCAAAACAGTGTGTTTTCAGTCCCCGCGCGCAGTCACATCCTTTTGCCAAACAATGCTATGTTACCTTGAGTTTATTTGGGGGGGGGGGGGGGGAGTATAGTGCTTGTAGGCCTATGGGTCAATGACAAAAGTTCGAATTTTAATACTGGTAAATAAAATGACTAGAATTGAAATGTAATAGCTGTTTTAATACATTTTTAATTAAAAATGTCAAGTTGATTTTTCTGTTTAACTGAATATATATATGTATGTATGTATGTATGTATGTATGTATGTATGTGTGTATATATATATATATATATATATATATATTAAAATGTCAAGTTGTGTAGGCCTAACCATCAAGTACAAATATTTAAATACGTTCCTTGCACGTTGAAACGACGCTAGTACACAACTTCAGTGTGTATTTTCAAAAAAGTCTTCAACCTATAAAAACCTTTGCTTTTGAAGTGTAAAATGAGGAATTAGCCAAAAATATAATTAATTTTGAAAAACACAATGAAATCTCTAACTCGTAAAAACATAGACTAATTAAATATAACTAATAATAATAACAATAATAATGACCTTTTTGTTTAATGGTTTTCTTTTGGCTCGTGGCAAAAAAAAAATGGCTTGCTGCGTGTTGGTTACACAACACTGATTTATTCATTAGGTCTATTTTTTTAAGTGATTTAACTGCTTGTTTATAAAAGAAATACTAATAAATTATTATGCAAAACTATTTTTGCCAACAATTATGCCAAGGTGTAAAAAAAGGGGTTATCTTTGTTTAAATTTGGTTACATATGAATAAAATAAATGCTGCTACTGTCTGACTTTATCATAAAAGGTTTACCTTCCTGCCTTTGTGATGATCATTTCTGTACCAATGTCGTGGAAGCGTTTCCACAAGTCAGCGCACTGCAGCTCCACCTGGATCTCCTCCATAGAGGCTGAGGGTGAAGGGTCGCAGGCGGCAGGGGTCAGGTCCGCCGGGGAGCCGAACGAGCAGGACGTCCTCTCCGCCAGACCCTCTCCGTCAGAGCCCGGGCTGGCCTCCGAATCTACACCGGGCAAATCAAATCATTATAAACGCCAGCAGCAGGAAGGAGCCCTCGGGAGGCCCGTTGACAATATTGAGCGGCAGAACCACATGATCAGATTCAGATCACCTGCAGCCGTAAAGGATAACGTCTTGGATTCACTCAGACAATCAAGGGCCTTTGAATGTTAAATGAAAAAAAAAAAAATAATGTGGAAACTCTGATTCAGCACATTGGCAGCCGAATATTTATTTTTGTTTTCTGAAAATGAATCGCATGATGATGTAGCAACAGACTAATTATTTTTTCCAACGACAAAACTAGGCCTATTGTAATTATAATAATCACAGAACGAATAGAAGATTGTTGGTTAAAAATTAGACTTATGAAAATAAAAGTTATATCGTTGCGTTTTTTGATCGCAAGAAATGTATGCCCTTTTTCTTTGCTGTTGCGCAGGATCTAAATTAGCTATTTGTAGTCTGACTTAAGCATTTAAAGCGGTTTAAAACGAAATTGTTTATATTAGAACTAGCCTACCACAACAAAAAGCATGCACTTAAAAAAAACCTTTTAAATTACCAAACGTGTGCGCACGTTAGCCTACGATAGGGATGATTAATTAAGATTAAAGACAAACGTAAAAGTAGAGATATTTCAGGCCTTGCTTCGGATGCAAATCATGGTGAGTGTGAATGAGTTAAACAGAAAACTCACAAGAAATCGATTTAGGCTATTATTTAGTACAGATTTTATTCTTCAGATGATCACGCAACCTTCACAGGCTCATTGAAACGAGGTGGATTGTTTTGGCTGCACTTGTCATGCAAATGAGGCTGTGCAAGCGTACAAGCTGCAGAGAGACTGAACAGCAGCCCAGGACAGACCGCCATCACCCCTTGCACAGAACCCTCCGAGGCCGCGGGGCCCCAGAGCCCGAGTCAGAGAGAGTCAGACTTTTCATCAACCTCATGAGAGATTCAATCAGCGTAATTACAGTAATGAACCCCATCGTCTCTTTCATGCGAATCTCTCAGGCTGCACGCATGCCCTCAGCTCCTTTTAAACCCGTCAATGTGCTGTCGTTCCTGAGCTGCTGTCAATGAGACATTGCACAAGACTAATGCCCTCTGCCAGAATTACAACACAACAAGAATGCAGCTACCAGCGTCAGGCAGCTGCACACACTACAAAGGATAGTTTCAAAATAAGACAACAAAACTTCACATTTACCCTGGACATTATAACACTGCTGACAAATAAGTCAACTTTCCCGGAGGAATAATTTAAGACTATAGTCAATGCATATAAAAATGCAATGGAAACGGCATAAGTTGACGTAATGAAGCAAATGCAAAAACATAATTTAGTATTATAGCATATACTAATAATAGCAGATTCATATTTTCGTCTGCCCGTTAATACCGCAGCACAACACTTTGCCATAAACACATTCATTTTTGTCTTCTTTTGACTTAGTTATAATTGACCTATTTTTTTATTTTTTTTTTATGGGACGGAGGCGAACTAAGCATGAAATTGCAGAGTAACCCAATCCACCAGGAACAGAACCACCTGTTTCTGCTGGACTTCATTCAGTCTCGTGTAAGAGGGAGGTAATAAAAATAAAGATTAAAGATTAAGACTCCCTTTAAATGTACACATCTGTCGTCTTTCATTTTGACTTTGTCTCTCTGGGAATTATGCAAGCGAAGGGTAAAAATGTGTTTTGATTGACATCGAACGACATTCAGAAAAAACTACAAAAATCTAACAAGGGCAGACTTTAGCAATATTCAGTATGCCATTTATTGAAGAATTTCAATATTTATTTTTAAGTATTGAATAAAAACAGAATGCAAATAATCCGAGATTTTGACATCAAAACCATGCACAATGGTCCAATTTGAAAGTAATGTGTTCATTAAATTTCATATACTTCTTACTATAGTTGATGTCACTCAGAAAATCCTGTCTTAAAGTATGATTCATGAAATGAAATATCGCATTATTTTATTTGTTTATTTATTTATTTATTGCAAACGTTGTCTTAGGTTGTGAAAAGCACAATAAGCAATAAAATTCCAATTTTTCAAGGTGACCAAGATGGAAACGGCACGTAAGGTGCTGTAAGGTGCCAGACTGATTTGGGGTCAAAAACTGATTGGTTAATTATTTATTACAAATTATTTCATTTTACGAATTATTAAAAACATAAAAGCTTCTTGTTGATTCCCCCTTGGCAACCTGCTCCACTAATAAGACTTCACTCCAATGTCTAAAAAGATTTTGAAATGCGTTTTAAAAAAAATAAAAATGAGTCATTTTTCCCTCTGTAATTTAATCAAGATGGGATCTTCCTAGAACTATATGTTGTTTCTCAAAGACGTAGAAATGTTTCCATTAGTGTTCACTGAGTCGGAAGAACGTAAAAACTGACTCAAATCAGAATCATGTCATCCGTGTCTGTTTAGGACATCAGCCTCGAACAGATGAGCAATTCATCTGTATATGCGCTTGGCGTAGGCAAGATAATATCGTGATCAATGTATTTAGATTAACTGAAACTATTGTCCCACGTAATTAATTGAAACAATGTAGCTATTGTTGTTGAGTTTTTTTATTTATTATTATTATAATCCGCTTTGTATCACCAACTAGGCCTATTCCCATTGGTCGTGTATCAACAAAGATGTTCTGTTCATGAACTCTCTGTTTGGTTAAATGAGAACATGAAGCCGTTAAGTTAGAGAGAAAATGCTTTAAATATGTTATATAATTTAAATCTTTTGAATCTGAATCAAAACATCTACCATGCAACCTGTACATAATATAAGTCCACGTTTAAAGGTATATAAGCATACACATATTTGGGGGATTTTCGTGTAATTGCATCAATGGTTTACAACTCGACATGAAATAAACGATGTTTAATTATTTTTGCTTTAATTGACAACATTTTCTTTGAATACAGCCTATACGTTATGGACACAATCAGGCCTTATGTGACTGTTAACCTGTAACGCGTAATCTCAGAGATCAATTCAGATCTTGTTCATTTGCCTATAAAAAAGCAGCCTACTAAAAAGCTGTCTGACAGTTTAATAAAATGAAATTTATTGCGATGCTACTCACCTGTTGCAATTGTTTTCCTCCTCTGAAACAAAGCTGCTCTTTTGTTTCAGTATAGCCTAACTAACTTTTGTCTGTGCTCAGCATTATTTTTAAAAAGTGCGGTGAACAGTCATATTTATCCGGCGTCAATATCAGAATGATCAGTCAGCAGCCTGATGTTGTGCGGAACTTAATGGTCTGCCTAATGGCAAATGTTCCTGAAGCGAGACTAATGAAGTGATGACTAACGTTGCAACAGTTGAACTACAGCGATGAAACCGAGAAATACACACACACACACACACACACACAGTAACAGTATGTGCTCGAGCGCATGTTCGCGTGAACTCACAAGAGCGCTTATCTTTTGTCTTTTATCTGGAGACGGGTTGGCATGTATAAACTGACATCTGCAGAGTAGTTTTAAACTCTACGTTCATGTTTCCAATTAATTTGTATAATATATACTCTTTTGTTGACATAGGCCTAATACAACATAAGACCACGATTTAACAATTGTTAGGCCCTCACATCGAGGCTATTGGTAGATAGGCTATTTATGCATCACCAAATTTTCATTCACTTGCATCTTAGTCTGAATTAAAGAACAAAAACTTTTCTTGGTGGAACAGTTCTACACGGTTGTTGTATTCAATTGTCTAGTATGAATTTCTAGTATGAATTTTTCTTTTTTATTATTTCCCCGACATAAAAAACGTCATATTTAGCTAGTTTGCGCAAAGCAATTTAAGAATAAAAAACACAGTTTGCTGTTTCATAGGCTATTATAATTAAATATTGCTTTATAGAATTAAAGTGATGTTTGGGCCAACTGCATAGGCCTGCAATTGTCGCAACATTTTAGTCCAGTGCAAAACGTTAGTTTGTAAATGCGGTCAAAAGTTATTATGGGATGTTTACGGAGTGCATGGTTCAGTTTGCCATGTCATCATTCACTAACCCGGATCGATATCCAGACAATTCGCTGGATCCTCGCCGTCTCCCAACTGTTCGTTGCTCGCGAGGCTCTCCATAGACAGCTCCAGTTCTTTTTCTTCCCAGCCCCGGAGCTTCCGCTTCTTGTTTGTCCCGATCAGGGCTTCTACCGAAAAGGCGTGCGCTCGTGAACTCAGCGCGGCAGCGGATCGTCTCCTGTCACTCATCTCTCCCACTGCAAATCCAACGGAGGACAAATAGAAACTCCGTCCGGGCGGCAGGCGCAGGAATGCCGCACGCGCAAAATGTTTATATCGGGTGGATTTAGGTCTCCGGTGACGACGGTAATCCAAACCCAAGTCTAATGTATGCCCTTTAAAGGCTTAAAAATAAAAGAACCCATTCCCAACGATGAGACTTTAGCTGAATATCTTTTCCGAGAAGTTAGTTTGTTAATATATCTCGATGTTTTGCGTCTCCGTCCAACTTCTCTACGTCTCTTTTTCTGTCGTTGAGTTCTCTCTGATTGATATTCACTTCTGGAAAACTTTTTTTCGAAGCGTTAAGGGCAACCCTCTTACTGTTTGTCAAACCCAGAGCGACCAATGGGAAACGCAGGAAGGGAAATAACCAAAATATGTTGTCCAATGGAACAGGAGGGAAATAATGGTGGAGAAACGGTGAGCTGGAATTTGGAGATGGCCATTTTACAGTGAATTAACCTCATTCGATTTAACAAGCAGATTAATGGCTATCTGTTCCGAAATCATTAGTTTTTGTTCCATTAGCGGGGGGAAAAATAATTACTTTTTGTAGTTACTAAATTAGGCTAGTCCGCTATAAATATATATATTTTTTTGTCTAAAGTTTTTATCATTCGTCCGGGTGGGTCAGCGTCAAATGTCTGGTAGATAAAGTAACCTATTTGACCTTTAAAATGTTTGGTTGCTAATTATTAAAATGTAGTAGTAAGCATAAAATTATATTTTTCTTTCTTTTAGTGACATGTCTATTTAAGCTTGATTGCATGATGATGCGCTTTATTATCAGTTCGATTATTCACTGAGATTAATATTAAACTTGATAAATACCACATGGAAGACTGGTCTAAGACTTAGAAGTGTCCCATATTCCCCTTGAAGTTTAGGCCTTATCCGCAAAACATTCGTTTTTTATACATTCATCTCCTACTCTATCACCACCATGCGTGCGTAGGCTATAGGTTCCACAAAGCACAAACACCTTCAACATGAGGTTTTACCTTCGTCAAATACAAAAGGCGATCAATAGGCAGCCGACACGTTAAAGTGATTTTTTTTTTTTTAAATAGCTTGGCTACAATGCTGATTGTTTTATGCTTTTCATTGTTCCTATGTTTCATGTTTTCATCAATGTTTCAAACAATTAGGCTAATAATATTAGACTATATTAATATGAAATATTACTATTACTGTTGTGTTCAAAGAATAACAATAGCCTACATGCATTAACGTGTAGCTTATTTATGTTATATTGTGTAGACAAAAAACCCCAAATAATTAATTTAAGCTTTCCAGCCGTAAGTAGCCAAATACTAAAATACAATATGCTAAACTAGAAATTAGTAACGACCTATAAAGTAGTTGGATTTAACAAATCTGATGAATAGCTTAATTAAATTACATTTCAAATTAAGACGGTTTTAGGGGAAATATATTTAGAAATGCTGAATAAACTTACAAAAAAGACTTTCAAAGTTTCCTTACCGCTAGTAGTAAATTACGCAGATAACTTTCTACTACATCATATACATTTTACTGCGAATTAGTTGGAGCACATAAACCGCGCTGCACCCAATTATCTCATTTAGCTACACCGCATCTTACTTGAGTTTAACCCGAGTTTAAACACTAAGATCAACATCTGGCATGTGCGATTTTATTTCGAAACATTCGAAATCGTTTCAACGGTTTCATTTTCAACAATAGCAGGCTAATAGGCTGATGGACTTTGATGGGATTCTAGGCTAATTGCATGGCGTTGATAAATTGTTATCAAGGCGTTATTCTGAATAGCCTACTAAACCAATACCCTTTTTCATATCTGCTCAGATTAATTGTTAACTGATTTATTAGTGCATGATGCGGTGATCTTCATTAAATAAAGTGTGGCTTAAATATGGTTTAATTGCACGCAGTTTTGAATGTCGCCCCAAAAATAAATAAGAAACCATTATTATTATTTAGAAGTCCTATTTAAATATGAATTATTTTTATTTGTTATTTTATTATTAGGCGGTATGCTACTGTAATAAAGAAATTGACAGACCATTTGTTTTGGAGAAAGAGAGAGAGGAAGCGGTAAGTCTCACTATGGGACTCTTTATTCTCGCTGGAATCTGAAACGTTTCCAAAATACACGGACTACTTTTTTTTTCTTTTTTTTAAAGAAAATACTAATAATCAGGTTTGACAGCAGAATTACATGTTTCGTCACTGAATGCAGTAGGCCTATATTTTAATGATTGTTAACGCTTAATTAGAGAAAAAGGCTGACCCTGACTTTCGAGCTCAAAGGGCTCTCGGCATGCGCATCACATAAGCCATTAACTAACTCAACACACACTTGACCGCGCATCGCTTGGTATCATGAGCGCTTCATTCGATTAGCACATAGATTATGATAAAACACCTACTAAATGTCGGACACGTTTTGTTGTCATTTTACAGGTTAATCCAATATTGGCAAGTGAGCATGCTTGCACTCTGCGTATTATTTCTATTTAGCTGCTCATATGGAGTCTATACCAACGATATACAACGCTGGCAGCCTGGCACATAACTCACCACCTAAAAATAGCGGATTTGAACAAGGCGAAAATGAATGACACTTTCAAAGCAAAGAGTAAAAAACTGTCAAATAACAAGCGTCTTTTCTTCCCCATTCCGTCAGGCTATAGAGAACGAGAAAAAAAACATCCCTAAACAAAGAATCATTTTGCTGGACTGATCATTAATTGCCCTGTGGAACGAATAAACTCCCCATCTAATCCTCCCATATATCCTTGAATTCAGAACGCAGCTTGGAGAATAATGCATGTCTGTGCAGTGTGACGATGAAAACGTTTCCAATCGCAATTTAAAAGAATCAGAGAAAATGAGTGTGCAGTTAATAATGTTTTCTTGATTTATGACGACTTCTTTTAGGATTATTTCATCGAAAAGTAGGCAGAATCGGCTGAAGTCATTATAAACCGGAATTTAAGTAGGCCTATATGAAAAAGACCTCGGATTTGAAATCGTCCCCAATTTAAAATTACAAGCATAACTCATTTTAAATAACACTCATTTAGGCTATAACAACTAAACCATTCTTGGGTTATGAATTTGAATATCAGCCTGTGCATCTTTCAAATAAATATATAGCCTATATATATATATATATATATATATATATATATATATATATATACATATACACACACACACACACACATATATATATATATATATATATATTGGGGGAGAATTTTTCCTAATACACTCCTGGCATATTAAATTCATGTATTTGTTACAAACCTTTCAGGGATAAATGGGAATACAATTTTGTATGATAAAAGGTTCATCTTAGACTAAGTTTATCAAGACATTAAAACATGAACCATTTCTAATTGTATCAATTGCCTTTCCTTAAAACATATAATTTTGCCTTGGACAGACAATCTTGAAACCTCTTCACAGATACATTCCTATAGGAGAAAAAAAATCAGTGCAAAAGGCTACAATTAAATTATTATTCTTACACGTGTGTGAGGTCAACTGAGCAGACTTTGCCAAGAGTTTTCCACAACTCCAAGTCTGGCAGGTTCTCCTGCTCAACAGTTGTGTGTTGAGGCACGGGTGAGATTGAAAAGGATTTTGAACGCAAGTTATTCATCTACCAATTAATTCATAAGATTGTTTATTTTTGTTCAAATAAATTGAAAATGGTCAAAAGTAGGCTACAGGATGTAATTAAACAAAACTGAGCATTTGAACGGACATGGGCAATATATGGTGACAGTGGTGTACCTTTACTTACCAAAAGTTTTTTCACCAGTAAACTAAAAGAATCAAGACAGACAAAGAAGAGTTTGTTGCATCTCACAGTTTATCAATTGCCATAATAAAAGCCCACCAGTTTCCTGACTTCCGTCATCACAGGAACCGCCAGGCCGCGGGCCTTCTCTGCTCCTTTGGCTAACAGACTCTCAAGATGGCCTCTGTCGGCCCTCAGTCTTTGGATCTCCAGCCGAATGGGTTGCAGCTTCTCTACAACAGCCTCGGCGACCACATTCTTGTACTGTCCAGTGTCCATACCTTTAGCCAGCCGAACCACCTCCTCCACGCTCTGTCCAGTCACAGCCGCGTGCATCGAGACTAGGTTTGATACACCTGGCCGACTCTCAGGCTCATAGGTCACTTCAGAAGTCAAGTCAGTCACAGCTCTGCGAATCTTAAGGGCAATGTCATCAGGTGTATCGTTCAGGAAGACTGTAGATAACTTTTGGGGGTCTGACTTGGACATCTTAGAAGATGGATCCCTGAGAGATTTCACCTTTCGAGTGACACCTGAGAGTTAAAAGGCAGGAAAAGTTAAACATTTCATCTGCAATCTCAGAAAAAAAAGGCACAAAAGCTGTCACTGGCAGTACCGTTTCAAAAGGTACACCTTTGTACCAAAAGTGTACATATTACAAGTAACTAAACTTTTTAAAGTGTACCGTACCAGTTCTCAGAGTGTAGTCTTTCCTATTCACTACTGTTCAAAAGTCTGGGGTCAGTAATATTTTATTTTTAAGCATTTTAAATCATTCTTTTATTAAACAAGGACACATTAAGGGTCATTGATCGGAATGTGACAGTAAAGACATTTATAATGTTACTGAAGATTTCTATTTCATATAAACCCTGTTCTTTTAAATGGTCTGTTTAAAGCAACCTGGAGGGAAAAAAACACGGTTCCCACAAAAATATTAAGCGGCACAAATGTTTTCAGCATTGATAATAAAAAGAATGATACTAGAATAATAAATAATAATAGAATGATTTCTGAAGGATCACGTGACACTTAAGACTGACGAAAATTCAGCTTTCCCATCACAAGAATAAATAACATTTAAAATATATTAAAATAGAATTTGCAATATTACTATTTTTACTGTATTTTTGATCAAATACTTGGTGAGCACAAGAGACTATTTAATACAGCATTTCACTTAATAATAGAAAGTCACTGACACAAAAGGTGTCGGATGTTGAATTCAGAAACCACTATGATTTAGTTCTGTAAGGGATTTGCTTTATTGAAACTTTGAACTACTTTTTTTAACTATTCCTTAAATGAACTGGCTCATTCGTTCATGTAATGGTGCAGGAAACATGCTAGTTTAAAATACATATTTCTCTGAAATGCTCCTTTCACAATACTGCCTAATTATTTCAATACAAAAGTAATCACAGAATGCAATTTTCCACTTTTTATACAATCAATTTCAGTAAATTAGCATTAAACAGTGACCACACTCAAACACTCCTCAGATTGAAATTAAGTATCTCAGGAAAGCAACGCGGTTGTGTAAATATAATTTCTTTGTGAGATCACAGCACAGATGGGCTCTATTGGTCGGATCTTTGATTTGGTTTCAGTGCAACAGATATTGTTTGGCTTCTTCAGCTTTGGCTCCAGAATGCAGGCACGGTCTTCCTTCACATGTAAGAAGAGCGACGTGAACCGGTCCTTTGTGAAGTCACTATAGGGAAACCCCCCCAAATCCATTATCA